TGTATCCCAGAGCCCTGTTGTTCCAAGGTTGAGCATGCATTGCTGTTTACCTCTGTCCCACTTAGGCTATGCAAACTTGTCTCAGTGTTCCCCTATCTATCTTGTTCTTCTACCTCCTCCCCCTTCTTGTATTGTCTTCCCCAACACCCGAACTAAACCCCCACCCCAATCCCATTGTGTGGTTACCTTATATTCCATTAATTCTTCCCTCCCTTTAAGACAGTCTATTTTATCCTGTAATCTACCTGACCTTCCCACCATGTGGAACTCTGTTTCTTTGTGTTTACCTTCTTTCACATTGTAATTGTTCTGATAATTGACTGACCTCCCAGATCCTCTGTTCTTAAGATTTTATTCTGTTCTTGACTCTTCCATTTGTCGATTGAGTTCAGGGTGATGCTGCCATGTACATTGTTGTCCTTGTTGGTTCTCAGTCCACAGAACCTCCTTTAGGATGTTTTTCATAGCAGGGTTGGCTTTGGCAACATCCCTTAGCTTCTGTTTATCCTGGAATGTTTTGATTTGACCATTGTATTTGATTGACAGCTTTGCTGGGTAGAGGATTCTTGGGTGGTAGTTATTGTCTTTCAGGGTTTTATATATCTCTTCCCCATTGCCTTCTTGCCTGCATGGTTTCTATTGGGAGATCTGAGCTTAATCTGATTTGCTTGCCTTTGTATGTTACACTTCTCTTTTCCGTAGCTGCTTTCAGGATTCTGTCCTTATCTTTGATTTTGGAGAGTTTGATTATTATATGTCTTGGTGATTGTCTTTTAGGGTCTATCCTTCCTGGGGTTCGTTGAACTTCTTGAATGCTTATCTTTTAGCTTTTCAGTATGTTAGAGAAGTTTTCTTCCAGAAGCTCTTCAACTATATCCTCTGTGGACTTGTGTGATTCTTTCTGTTCTGGAATTCCGGTAATTCTTATTTCTCTTCATGTTGTCCAACATGAATCTTAGGCCTTCTTCAGCCGTTTTTATCCTTTTTTGCATTTGCTCTTCTATCTTAGTAGTGTTGAGAGATTTATCTTCTAGCTCACTAGTTCTGGCTGCTGTCTCTTCACTTCTACTTCTTTGCCCTTTCAGTGTATTGTCCATTTCTGATATTCTGTTATTAATCATTTGGACCTCTTTCTGTAGGTTTTGAATTGTTTCCAATGCTGTGTCTATTTGATTGTTCCTGTAGCGCTTTCCTGACTTCTTCCTTATTTTTTCTCAACTCCATTGTATAGTGTTTTGATACATTTTATAATCATTTTTCTGAATTCCTTCACAGACATTTTCAAAGCCTGCCCATCTTTCAGTATGGAGTGTTGGTCCACTTCCAGTTCATTTGCCTCAGTCACTTTGTCCCATTTCTGGACATGTGCTGATATGGTCACGTGTTTCTGCTTTTTGGGCATATTCAGGAATTATCTGTGGCCTTAATACTTAGATGGGTGTGTATTTTGGTATTTTTTATGCTTTCTGATTGTATCCAGGTAGATGTGATCAGGAGATGGGCTTCCCTTTTCACTGTTCTTCCTGAGAAATTTCAAGATGCTACTGTTGGTTGTTGTAACGTAATTCAGGATTTAATTTTCAGCCTATTTCCTATTTAGTCTGCCTGTCCCGCTCCACAATCCCTGTTCAGGCCTTTTTCCTGGTGATAAACAATTCAGGGTCAGCTGTGGCCATTTGGTTTTGTGGAAACTATCACTTTAATTTTTGAGGTGATCTGTACGCATGTGTAGTAGAACCCTCTTCATGTTGTCCATGGGGGTGAGGTGTCTACTCTCTCAGGCACCCCCTCTAATCACCAGAATGGAGGTGAGCAGACAGCGAGAGACCAATGAACAGATACCAAAAAAAAAAAAAAAAAAAAAAAAAAAAGAATGTCCACACCTTTATCTTCGCGGTTCTATCAGGTGTATGTGGCTGCTCTGATCCTTCTTCCATCTCCCACTTTGTTTTGCCCAAGATGGTGGCTCTGGGAGCAGCTGAACATCTTGAATTAGAAAGCAATGGATTTCTTGCTTCTGCTACAAATTCCCCTAACTGTAAGCCTTCCAACCTTCTAAAAATTCCTTTATATGTGGTTCACAGTTCTGGCACCATCCCCTGAGCCTGCTTGGTCCGGTATTCTGTGTTGTTAACGGAGCTCTTCACTGCACTTCACCTGATCCACCATCTTTTTTGTTCTCACATTCATCAAATTTGTTTTTGCATTGCAAACTTTTCTGTTTCCATAAATATTCTTTTATACTACTATGCAACTTGTTTTTGTTTATTTTGGTAAGAAGCATTTTTAAAATGCAAAAATAGTTGGGTATGAGTAGTATATTTTGAATGAAATCTAGAAAACTTGGGAAGACTTAGGAAGAATAAGGCATAATACCGATGCTTTGTTTTTTTAATTTTCTATGAAAAAATTGGGAAATTTAAATTTAGTTTTGTCTAAACTTAGGGAGTCTTATGAAGAACCAAAAGAATGTGATTAAAACGTTACAAAGCTTTTCATTTGCAAAGCCTGTCTGTGACCACTGTTGCCTTTGCAGTAGACCGATAAAACTTTCAGCACTTAAAATATACCTAGAGATAATTTGGTTCAGAGCTATAGGATGTTTCTTTCAGTTCCTAATGTGGATCTACCACCCCTGTGTTCATCAAGATTTCGGTCTGGACCTCCTGGGGAAGAGGCCCAAGTGGCTAGCCAGTTCATTGCAGATGTCATTGAAAAGTAAGCATATGATAAAATTTGACTATTGCTTATTTTCATATAGTTTTGACCTATCATTTACTTATTGTCATTATATTTAGTTCACAGATAATTCAGAAAGAGGACTTATGTATTTCTCAAGGAAAGGTAAGTAGAGTAAAAAAAAAAGGGCTTTTAAATTAATTCTGAAGTATACTTTTGGGGAGGGGGTGGTGGAAGTGAAAAGAATTAAACCACAAGGCCTTAAGTATGGGTAGCTTATTAGTTTTAGATGTAATTAAGTAAAAATATCAATCTTACTCTATAATTATTTAAATAGACTATGTAGTTCAGAAAACAGAATTTTGAATAATTTATTTCTTCAGAGGTGTTATGTTTTAAGTTGAGGCAATTAATTTTCCTTAATTTCTGATTATGATAGTGTGTTTAAGGTGAATCTACATGGTAAGTTCGAAAAGTTGGTTTGAAAATACTGACCTAGATTTATTAGAACCTAGAGAGGGTTTTCTTGTTTGGTTTTATATTGATTTATTCAACTGTAGAACCTAAATATTTCATGTACTAAGGTTCTTATGGGAAAGTTGTTTTGAGGCAGCCAAGGCTTTAAAAAAACATTTCCATATCTACTAACTTAGCAAGCAGAATGGAAATTCCTTCTATTATCTATGGCCTCCTTGAGGGAAATTGAGATGTTTCTTTCATTGTCAGCTGAGTTGTCAAAAGCTAGCTGTCATCAAATCTCATTTTCTATGTTATAGGGTAAATCATTATATAATTTTTTTAGCCTGGATGATTATATTGTTGAGCCAAAGGTTCTGTGATTCATTTATCTTAGCAAGTAATATGTTCTACCCATTTGAATGTTGATTTCTAATAAACTATATTTTAGCTGACTTGGGTTCTATACTGTGATCTCATTTGCCTCGACTATGATGGAAACATTTTGGATGCCTGTACATTTGCTTTGTTAGCTGCTTTAAAAAATGGTAAGTAAGCCTAATAAATGCCTGTCTTCTTGGATCAGGATTTAAAAAGTTTTGTGAAATTATATATTAATTTTCTCAGTAAGCATTTTAAGATTTAAAGGTTTTTATTAAAATTAACATTCAAATATATTTCTAAATTAATGAACATAATATTAATGTGACTTTCTAGCATGTATTGGGCTGGGTGTTCAGTCCTTTCCACAGTAGTTGATGTGAGGGAAAGAGAGTTCTAACCAAAATCTGAGTGATTGGGGAGGAGTGTACAAGTGTTATCTGAATTCTTCACTTGACGTAATGTTGCTAAAAAGTGAAGAGTAGGTTCGGTTGTTTTTACTTTAGGGCCGTAGGTTTCCTCTTTAGTTGTTAAATTTCTCCTAGTAAGGAGTCTAATTAGCTTGATTATGATTAACAATGACTTATGCATGTTCCCTATTGCTGACTTGATTATATATGTAATTGGAGTTAGAAAATATAGTTAGCTTAGCAATATTATTTTACTGAGACACTTGGGGTAGTCTAAGTGGCTTGAGCACATCCACTAACCTACTAACCTAAAGGTTGGCGGTTTGAACTCACTCTGCATAAACAAGGCCTGGTGAATTCCTTCCATAAACATTACATCTTTATAACACATGGGGGTGCCATAAGTTGTAATAACTTCAGTGGCAGAATCTGTTTTTGTGTTGTTGAACTTATTTTGCATTGAGTGAAGGTTTATCAGTTTTACATTCAACAAATCATATATTTTGTTTCATTACAATGATTGCAATCCCTTCCATGTACCAGCAGTTAACAGTTTACCTCTATTCACTTTAGCATTAAAATTGCATTCCTCCCCCTGCCTCCCACTACCTTAATCTTTCCTCTGCTGGCTTCTCTTGTTGAATATTGCCTGCCCTGTCACCCATGTTAACATGTGTCTGCCCTCTAGTCTGTGAATATTACCCCCCCCCACACACAACCAGGAACTCTGGTAGCATAGTGATTACAAGTTGGGCTGCTAATTTTGTAGTCAGTAGTTCAAAACTACCAGCGGTTCCACAGGAGAAAGATAAGGCTTTCTGCTTCTATAAAGATTTACAGCCTCCAAAACCCTATACATGGTTACTATGAGTGGAATTAACTCCATGGCACACCACCACCATCACCACTACGCCCATAACCATCAAAGATTTTTTTTTTCACAAGAAAACCTTAATTTTTTTTTTTAATGCATTATTGTGAATTATGTGATAATTTACATGGGAGGACATTAGCTTCACATTGATTCCATCGTATATCATTTTCTTGCCATGGTTACAATCCCCTCTATGCATCATCCATTAACCAAAGGGTATACCCGCAATCCCTGGTTGTCAGCACACAGCCCCTCTCCCTCTCTGGGTCCAAAGTCTCCAGCCGCTCCTCCCCACATCATCGTCTCTGCCTCCATTTCTGGGATCACTGCTTCTCTGGGTAGGGTTCCGTTCTCTGCTCTTCTCCCTTGATGGTCTCAGGGACCTCCACTCCTAGACTGCAAAGTTAATCACTCCCCTCCCTTTGCCACAAAACGTCTGCTTTACATTTCAAGCTCTTACAATCATCCCTGATAACAATTATTCACTGTTATATCACAAGAGACCT